GCGAACATTCCGTCCGCTGCTGAACTCGAGGATTTCTTCTCCGTTGCCGAACAGAAAATTCAGAAAAGCTTTGAGGACAAGTACGACGGACAGTTTTCATTATCTATATACATACTCTAAAATTTATTTGTAAATTTATACACGCATTGTATGTGCGTATTTGCAGGTATAACTTTGATGTTGTGAATGAAAAGCCGTTGGAAGGTCGTTACGAGTGGGTTCAATCAGTGCAGCCATATAACAAGGAAGAAGAAGAAGAAGAAGATTCATCGCCATCAACAGCAATTCCAAAGAAGGTGTGAGAACAAATATAATGAATGTCGTCGTCTCAAGTCTCAATATATATAATGGTAGCAGCAGCCATTTATTTTTAAACTTTTCTAAAGTTGGGTCTTTTTAGCGCTTTTTCCAGAATCATTCACCTTTTTAGGGTTCTTCTTTCGTGCATGATTGTGTGTGTGTACAGCTAGCTACCTAGCAGCTCTAGGATCGAGGTAGTTGAACTGATTGGACATGGACCCTTCCTTTATAAAATCTCCAAATTAAAAGTTCTGTGATATTATGCATGTTTTCAGATCACTATATATACTCCGAGTTTAACTTAATTAGATTTAACCCAACGCATCTATAGACTATAGTAGTTAATTTAAAGCTAATCTGCAAAGTCAAATCTTTAAAATAGCTTTAATTTATCATAATTTACGTCCATGCCATGCAATACACCACACATACATGCTAATTAAGTTGTTAAGCCACTTCAAGCTAAGAATGAATATTTTCAATTGATAAATGTGTGAGAGTACATCCGTATAAATACATGAGGCTTAGTACTCCTAATCATGGTAAGAGTGTATAATAGGAAACCTATACAAATGGTAACTACCAATGATACAATAAATATATTTAACATAAATAAAAAATACTCCGGCTATGTCGGATGCGGTGGAGGATGAATCCCAAGATTAGTGCGAAAATCCATGAAGAGTACTGAGGGAAGTCCTTTGCTGAATATATCAGCATACTGAGAGGAAGATGGTACATGAAGAACTCTGATATGTCCAAGTGCTACTTTGTTTCGAACGAAGTGAATGTCTACTTTGACATGTTTAGTGTGCTAGTGCTGAACAGGATTGGTGGAGAGATAGACTCCACTCACATTATCACAGAACACTAGGGTGGCTCGCTGCAGAGGGTGTTGAAGCTCAAGTAGAAGATTCTGTATCCAGCTCGTCTCGGCAATGGCGTTGGCAACCACACGATACTTGGCCTAGGCACTCGACCGTGAAGTCGTGGCTTGCCACTTGGACGACCATGAAACTAGGTTATCTCCAAGGAAGAAACGGCAGCCAGAGGTAGATCATCGTGTGTCTGGACATCCGGCCCAATCGGCATCTGAGTAAGCCTGTAAGAAATCGGTACGAGAGTGTAGCAAATATTTTGGGACGGAGGGAGTATTAACCTACATATCACATCATACTTTTTTATTATTAATCTACCCATCATATCATACTTTTATACATCAAATCCAAAGACATTTTTGGAAAGTCCACCCTAAAATACACTATTCTTAAATCTTTTAAAATTCAAAACCAGAAACGTTTTGTGGGACGAAGGAAATATTATTGAAGGGAAAATTACTTGTATAACATTCTCTCCCTACCATAGAACTTTAATAATGCGGATTATAATATTTGATTGAATTTAAATTAAATTTTAATATAGTAAAACATTACAAGGTCGTAGTTGGGTGGGCGCGGTCTGTGATGGTTGTAGTTGGGTGGGCGCGGTAGTATCACGGACCGCTCTTATTAAAATAGTTCGGTATCGGTACAAGATGAACACCAAAACTATTTGTTATCATACCGTTTTGAAATGAAACAGTACTATACCATGCTCATGCTCAAACTGTGCCAAAAAAATTAAACATGCATCATTCAAATAATATTAAAACAATGGTACAACTTTGTTAAAAAGGTAATGATTCTGAACTTTAAAGGATCATAAACATAAAGAGTAAAAGATGAAAGTTGGATGTGATGAATAGATTTATTGAATAATAGAATAATTGTATTACTCAATGAAATACTCCGTAATAAAATACAAGATGGAGTATAAATAGGAGGGAATACAATCTCAACTAGGACTAGGAAAAAGCTAACTAAAATACAAAGTCTGTCATAATTAATATTGACTATAATTAATTGTCTAACATTTCCATCAAGCTGAACTCGTGTTACAAGTGGAAGCTTAGAAACAAGAGTCTGGAACCGCGGATTAGATATTCATTGTGTGACGAACAAGCGTGATAGCGGATGTACTGAGCTTTTTAAGCTCTCGAACTCTAGAAGAAACAGAGACAAATGTAGCTTTACGCGCAGCTCTTCGATCAAGTATAAAAAAAATTTAGAAAGAGAGGGAGAGATAGATAATGGATGGCGGCTGGTAGGCACGCTCGTCAAGACCCGTGGCGGCTGTTAGGCACGCACATAGTTTATTTTTAAGAGAAAGAGAGGGATAAGAGACGACAATGCCATGATTTTTGGTGGTAGATCATCGATGAAGAAGGGTGGTGGTGGCGCACGGTCGTAGAATAAGGGAGACTAGGTTTTTGAGAAGAGATACCTTAGCTTTGATATCATATTGAATAATGGAACAATTGTACTCCCTCCATCCCACAAAAAAGTTCTCATTTTAAATAATATTTAGTCAAATATTTACACGCTTTGACTACAAACTGTGAGAAAGGTATATTGAATTATAAAATAAATTTAATATAATTGGATTCATCTTAGGATCTAGTTTTGATATCTCAAATTTTTTTAGCATTTCTTTATTTAGATTATATTTAATTTATGGTCAAAGCATGTAACTGTTTAACCAATTTATGGTCAAAATGGGAACTTTTTTGTGGGACGGAGGGAGTATTACTCAAGAAAATAATAGAATATAAGGTAGAGTATATATAGATGGGAATATAATATTAATTAGGACTAGGAAAAAGCTAACTAAACTACAAAGTCTACCATAATTAATATTGTCTATAATTAATTGTCTAACAAGATTAATACTCCGTCCGTCCCACAAAATATTTCTGCCTTTCTTTTTTTAACTGTCTCAAAAAACCTTTCTAATTTTTATTAAAATGTCACATTTACCCGTACTAATTCTTAACCTACATATCAGTATATCACATCATATTTTTTTCACTATTAATCTAACGTCACGTCTACTTTTATCCATCACATTCAAAGACATTTTCAGAAAGTCAACACCAAACACACTTCCTTTAAAAGTCAAAACCAGAATGACTTTGTGGGGCGGAGAGAGTAGTAAATAGATGTGATGTGATAGATAAGTTAACAACTAGTAGGGTAAAAGTAACTTTTTTATAGAAATAAGAAAAAAAATTGGGATGGATGAATAAAAGATAAGAGAAAAATTTTGTGGGATAAATGTAGTAATCCCTCCGTCCACAAATAAACTTTCCGTTGCGCGTTACGATGTTTGACTGAAGTGATTTTCAAATCATTTTATATGAAAAATGGTGTAAAATTTAAAAATAAAAATTGCATATTAAAAAACTATATCAAAAGAGCTACAAAACTAGAGACGACATGACTATATTATTTTATCAAATGAGTGACGAAAATAGGTCAACAAAGTGAATAAAGTTTGACTCTGTGAATAGTGAACGAGAAATTTTGTGGACGGAGGAAGTATAAAAAAAGGAGGGGAAGCGATGATGGGCATCATATATTCGGGAGCAAAGCCTGTCACCTGATGTGTGTTACGGGAGGGGCGTGAAGGAGGATAGCCAAGCTCTTTCTCACGCCTCATAACACATGCACTATGTTTGGTTCAAGGAATTTGAAAGGGAAAAGAAAAGAAAATGAAGTGGAAAATCATTTTTCTTGTTTGGTTAGAGGGGAAAAGAAAGGAAAAGTGGAAGGAAAAGAAAATGAAGGGGCAAAATGTACCAAGTAGAGGGAAAATCAAATTCCTTCCATTTTGGTGAGGAAAATGAAAGAAAACCATTTTCTTTTCTTTTCCTTCCAAAATCCTTGAGCCAAACATAGTGATGGTGTGTCATCTGGTTATGCACAAACCACACGTCTGGCCTGTAGGAGTTAACTGTGGTGCATAGCAAGAGCCCATCAATAAATAAAGGGAAAAAAAGAGACATCATCATTTCTTACTCAAGCTAGCTAAGCAATCTTCTTTGGGTCTTGTGATGTGAACAAGTGGTGAAAACCCTAAAATTGTTAATTTTGGCAACAAATTCCAATGTTTCCCAGTTTGTAATGTTTCCAAATCATGCCGGCCATGTGTTATAAGAGAGATCTAGCTCATAGTTTATACTCCCATCCCCACCTCATGGTTAAGAAGAATGTGTTATAGTCTCATCTGATAGAATTATATGTTGTTATACTGATTTTATTTTTTTTTTGTGAAAACTATATCTGCTTAAGGATGAATTGAGTTTTACTATTAAGGGAAAAAGTTATCATCTTCTTTAAGATTAGTAATATTTTGTTTTGAATAATTCTTTTTTCCTACATATTTTCAAAAAATACAATTTTTTTATGTATATATTTAAAATTATGAAGGTAAAAGTGGCGACATAACATAGGAACAGTCGGAACATAGACATGTTAGGCTCAATAGACCGGATCCATGCACCAAGCCGAGTGGGCAAGCCCGCGAGGTTAAGGGACAAAAACGATGAAAAGTACACATAGGTGGAGAAAATGTTAAAGCATGCAAAAAAAAAAGTCCAAAGAGGGAGGCCAAACAAGGAGTGTGGGCCCAATACAAGGAGTCACTCCTTGTGACACGTCTCAGATACTCGACATAGTGACCTTTCACGAGATCATCTGATTGGTGACGGAAACACAAATCGCTCAAATATCAACTCTACATTGCCTTGATGGTAAAGAAATGGCAAGTGCAATAAGAATAGAGACATACCTATTTTTGACTAGGGGCATTTCTTTGCAAAACCTGGAAACTATGTTTTTTTATTTATCTATACACAAAATTAATCGCCAAATACAATCAACGATCAAAGTGAAAGACAAACTATATACATTATAGAGCATGTATTTATACAATCTCAGGAGATGGAGCTGATCTAGTGGACACTGATCCCCTGTTGGAGGCTCCAGCTGCCTTTTGAAATGAATATGGAGTAATGGATCTTGATGAACTCTCCCCTTTCATAGTATGCAAAAACAGCGCTTTCACAATCTGTTTGAACTTTCGTTTATACGTTGGGAACTTGGATACACTTCTTATCATTCCCACCATTCTGCCATAACAATCCATTCCAATGTTTAGGCCTAAGTAATCATGTTCTTATATCTTAGTGCAAATGAAAGATTTTTTAGTGAACTAAGGGCAATACCTTCGACTGATGCCTTCGATTTGAGCAGCACGAAGCAAGTCTTGAGGAGTGGACCCACCATTTTCCCAAGCGCGAAATCGGTCAGCATTGCCTCCCAAGAGCACAACTTTCTCAAGGAATCGCATCTCCCCTTCAGACAAAGACAAGACTTTGATCTGCTCTTTGAGGTCCATGACTGGTTGGAAGAACCACTCCAGCAACCGGTCTTGGGGTCTGTTGAGATAGGTGATCTCAAGATTGTCAAGAAGAACCAGCCCTTCTGATCCAGCCTTGATGGAGGACAATATGATCTGCAAGAATGTGTAACATGGCAACCCAATGTTTATGATGTCACAAGCATGACTGTTTTCGTGTTTCTTGACCCTCCTCACCCAGTCTTCAAGATCAGCTGGCGTGATCACGTTTGAATCAAGTAATTCCTTCCCTCTTATCTCGCAAGTCTTTATCAGGTTTTGCCATACCTGTTTGCAAATCATACACGCACTTTTCTTGAACTCTGTGAAAGTCAAACCCAGAAGACTTTTCTGGGACTGCGAAAAAAGAAAGAGGGATAAGAAACCTGAACCATCTTCACTTCTTGTATAACCTCCTTGACAGATCTTGATGATGTCAAGCTGGGCACTAGCAATGCAGGTGCTTCGCCGAATACTGCATTTAGTTTTCCTTGACTGAAACGGTTTCTTCTAACAGACAACTCTGTTGTGTCAGAACCCTTCTTTCTCCTATACCGTGGCCTGGCTTTAAGAAAAGATTAGTTAGCAATGTAACAAGAAAAACAAACCAAGTATGAAGAAGGGTATACACTCACTTTGGGAGGAAAGACCCCTCGCGAAGATAAAGCCAATCATTTGTGTACTCGTCGAATTCTGCCACCATTGCAATGACATATGCAACACCTCTCCGGACAGACCTTTCCTATAACAAATGAGACAAACTAATGTTTATAACAGAAAACATTTTGTGTTACATCTCAGAAATGAGACAGTTAGAATGTAAGAAAACATGAAAGTAACCTGATAAACAACAACGGCTCCGTGTAGGCCGATGAAGAAACTTGAAAAAACAGAGAGGATGATGCTCCCAAGAACAACAAGTGGCCACATGAGTATTGTCAGCCCAGCAATGGGTATGCAGGCTGTTTCCAAGAATGGGCCTTCCCGGCTTATCAGATCATGGATCAATCTGTACCATCCCTTTACCAGCATGTATGGGCTCTTAACCACCGCTATTGCCGTGAATAGAGGAATTTCCACAACTAGGCCCATCAGCCCGACCATTATACATCCCGGCACGTGTATAAATCTGCATCTCAATTGTATTAGAATAGATGCTTTAGTAGAGAGGATAAACATAATTTAATCCCTACTTTAATTTGTTTTTTTCATATATATGTCCTCGCTTACTTAATGTTCTCATTTTCTTTTTGAGATGAGTTTGAGAAAGATGAAATTGTGCGGTTTAGATTTATACATATAAGAAAAATGATATAAACCACACATGCCTTGTCCTTAAGGCTATGTTTGGTTCAATGAATATGAAAGCCAAAAGAAAAGAAAATGAGATGGAAAACAATTTTTTTCTCTTCAATCCTAATTCTTTGAACCAAACATAGTGTAAAAGGAAATGAGAACATTATTTAAGGACAATCCAAAGTCTTTGTCAAGAGTTGGAACATTCAAACATAATAACTTATTGTTCTCTTTGCCAACATTGAGCCCACACGTATTGTCTTTGTCAAATTTAGAAACCAAAGACTTCCATTTTCAGATAGATATGGAACCTAACCACCCATTAATTAGTCAGCTCGCCAACTGGATCTACTTTTATTTCTAGAAGTTGAAACCATACACAATTTTTTTAATGGCAATTAGCCTATCAACAATATCATACTTTTAGCCAAACACAACTTAACTTATTTTTAACGTAACCACCATGCCAAACCAAACCAAACCAAACCATACCTGAAAGGTTGAAGGTCAAGAGAGGCTGGCGATTCACGCAGCTCTTTCATGTAGAGTGGATATGAATGGTAGCAAAAATCACCGAAATCTCGTACCACGGTACAGCTCCCTTTGATTGTCCCCCACGTACCATCCTAAGCAATCAAATTTTTCAACATTTTTTCAAAACTCTGGGAAAACGTTCGCAAGTAACGCGACAAAGCGAGACGAAATTGACGAGTGGAACGTACCACAATGCAATGGATGAACCTCTTGGACACATCATCGTGTCTGAAGGCCTCAAAAGCAGAGACCCAGGGGGTGAAGAAGCCATATCCAACCCCCACAAGAACACTTCCAGCTATGCTCAAACCCACCCATATGGTCAGCAAAACCGGCAGACCAACCAGGAAAGCAACCTTAAGTGGCGCATCAAACCTCTTTGTCCTGAAAACAAAAAAACCATCAAATTAAAAACAAGAAACATAGAGTAAGCATGTTAAAAACTCAAACTTTGTAACTGAAATTGGAAGAAAACTCACTTGATAATGGCGTGAACGGTCCAGAAAGCGTGTGCAGGGAAGAGGAGTAGAATAACCCCAAGGTTTCCTATGATCAAAATGAGGCCAGCAATTGGACCGACCAACAAACCTGCAAAAAAGAAAATGACAAAGGGAAATTCAAGAAAATGAAAGAATTTAGAAACCCAGAGAGGAATTGAAACGAACAAGTATGAAGATCAATTAGGGGACGAATTAACTTTTGAGTGCGCCCAAAGAGAGGGCAGCGCAGAAGGCTAAAATAACATAAAGGGGCTTCACCCAATCTTCCAAGCCAGATGACATATCGTCTTTGATGGTTTCTGAGAGTTAATCTAGAAGTCAGCAACTCTTATAGTCCACTCTAGGGGTGTACACGGGTGTAGAATCCCACGGGATTGGAACGGGAACACTATGTTTAGTTTAAGAAATTGGAAAGGAAAAAGAAAAGAAAATTAAGTGGAAAACAATTTTTTAAGTTTAGTTGGAGAGAAAAAGTGTAAGGAAAGGAAAATGAGAAGACAAATGTACTAAGCGGAGAGAAAACAAAATCTCTCCCATTTTGATGAGGAAATTGAGAGAAAATCATTTTCTTCCAAAATCCTTGAACCAAACATAATGGAAAAATCGAAAGTTTGGAATCACATATGTTATGTTTGGTTTAAGAAATTTGAGGGTAAAAGAAAAGAAAATGAGAAAGAAAACATTTTTCTTGTTTGATTAGAGTATAAAAAAACAAAAGTAAAAAACAAAATATACTTCATACTAAGAAGAGAGAAAACCAAATTTTTTACATTTAAGTAAAGAAACTGAGGAACAACTATTTTCTTTACTTTTCTTCAAAATTCCTTGAACCAAATATAGCGCTAAAGCATAAGACTGGAAAAACTACCTCTTAGATTCCGGTCTGGATCGATTTGGACTTATTTTTTCCAATCCGTCCAGGTAAAAACCAGAAAATCAAAATCTATTTTTTTTAAATATTTTTCTCAATTTTTTTTAACTTATTTTTCGGGGAATGTAGCTTGATTTGAATTTATTTAATCCTAGTCTTATATTTTATATTCATTGGACGTGTTTCAAGAAATTATGTTAATGTAACATATTTTTATCAACAATGTGTTAAGTTTAAAATGAGTTTTATACTTATATTATACGGAGTAGTACTTTAAAGTATTTCATTTTTACCAAGAATGAATTACATGTCTGAGTATCTAAAACTCTAAATTGAAATATCATACTTCAATTTTTTAGAAACAATTTTAATTTTTTATGAAGATTCTTGGATAAATGTCAATGATTGCAATTACAGGATATAAAAGGTTATGAACATGATTTTAAAAAAGTTCATTTACACTTAAAAGATTATACTTCATATTAAAGTAATAAGAAAAGATGAAAGTACCAAAGTTATATTTACAATCATATTCTACTGTATTCTAAGAAGTATGTAATAAAAATAAAAACGAATTAGAATAACTACATTCCGGTCTTACTGGTCTAACTCGAAAACTATCCAGTCTTGTACCAGATTTTTACCCGTCCTTACTCTTTAGACCGGAGACTGGTCAGAAATTTTCTGGTCCGATCTGAATTTTGTACGCCCCTAGTCCACCGTATCAAACAATAAACAGGGCTGGATTTGGACACAAATTCAAAAAAGTTAGAAGGAATTAGAAAGGATTGGAAAAAAGAGAAAAAGTTGGAGAATATTAGAAAAATTAAAGTGTTAAAAAATCATTCAATTAAATAATTACACAAATCCTATATCCTATATATATATATATGTAAAGCAAGGTTTATTTCTTGGAGTATTGACATGTGGCATGCCACATGTGCATCCACATGTGCATTCATTAATGAGATGGATAATTTCATTAGTCCATTTAATTATTTAAAAAAATCTTTTAACGCATTTTATTGTATTACATTCAATAAATATTATATTTTAGTATTAAAAATATTACTATAATTATACTTTGTATAAAAAATGTCATTTTTTTACAATTTTACAAACATATATCATCATTGTAAAATATATTTCGTACTCCGTATTATATATTATATTTTTTTTATTATAATGTTTTATTAATGAAAAGTATTTTCATTAGTACTTCATTGAATAATGACCATTAGTTTTGCATATAANTATATTATTTTTAAAAATAATAAATCATTTCTCTTTTACTACTTTTAAAGAAAATATTTATAGATTCTTTAGTGCATTTATATTTATATTTAAATTATATTATTTGAAAATATATATATCTTAGAGTTAAATAAAATATTCATCTAACACATATTATATCACTATTAGAAAACTAAAATAAATAAAATTATAATTATAGAATGTAAAAAATGTAGAATATACACGAGCCTGTGTGAAGCACGGGATTAACACTAGTAAACATGTAAGAGAACAAATTTAGAATAGAAAAGAATTTACCATTGTCCTCATTTCAAGTGGTATATTAAGTTATAAATTTGGATATATGACTTTATTATCGACAAGGTTCTGTTGATACTGTATTCAGTGTCAGCGGATCATACTCGCTCCTAAGAAGCTCATCCAGTGCTCTGTTTGAAATATTGATGATTCCTACCCCTAACCATCTCCCAAACCCCCTACCGAATCCCTACCCGACCCCTATGTCCCAACCCTAGACCCCCCTTCTTACCCCTTCAAATGTGTGGCTCTTTTGGTTAATAATCTTTTAATTTGCTTTACATATAGGGAATACTATGTTGGGATGCATATTATTTCCTTCTTTTTTAACTGTTCGTTTTGCTTTACGAGTCAAATATTTTACTTATTATCTATAAAAATATATTTCATACGATGAATTTACATATAAAAATTATATCAAATTACTGGTATCGAATTTTTTTAATGTATTATTTTGATTAATTTTTGGTAAAATATATAGTATTTTAAAAGATATTGTTGGTAAAATATTAGACTCAAAATTTGAGAAAAAGAATACTCGTATAAAAACTCAACTCGTTTAAATTAAACTCGAATCTAGACAATGTCATAGTATTGGATTTGAATACACTTATATGCAAAACGTACCGGACCATTTGTCATTCCTAGCTTCTTGTTTGGAGAGGCAAAAGGTTCCGGACAATGCTAGGTTCACAAACAAAATGATGATAAACTTATCATTTAAAGTTTAAATTGTCATTTAAAAGTTATTTTAGACTATTTCATTTTTTATTAAAATTTACAAATAATAAATTTGCGGAATTTTTGACTATTTTATTTGCAAATCAAACATTTTTGGAGAGAACCCTCCTAGAGGTTCACTTTGAATTCATTCCACTTCAGCACTCTCGAGCTTCTCTCGGTTTAAGGTTGGGTTGGGTAGAATGATGATGGACCAGAGTACCAGACCAGCAATCTCTATCCTAAATCCTAATCGTGGCCGTTAAAACAGACAACTTGTAAACTGCAGTCTCGCGCTGTTCGTCAAACACACCGCCACGACTACTGCGTCTACAGTTCTACACAGTGCCCACAAAAAAAGACTTTATTTTTTTTTTTTTGCTTCTTCTTCGTAATTAATTTGGGATTAGACTTTTGCCGGTGAGAAATCAGAAGAAACCCAAGGCGGCTAGAATCTTCCGTCAGAATCTCGGCCTATAGAGAGCGAGATCGATGAAGATAAAGCTAGTGGTAAATCAAGAAAATCGCGCCGACCAAGATTTGCCCATGAAGGAAGACGACAATGATGCTTGCAATGAATGTCCTAAACCAGCAGAGGATGCCATTCAAGAGGGGGATTCCAGTCTTGCCAACTCTCCTCTCAGTTCTTATTTGCAGTCTCTGGTTTTTACTCTTGAGCTCAAAATCTTGGTGTCTTTTGTTCTGGATGTGTAGATTTTGCTGTGATTTTTTTTATGGATCTTCTTTGCCTTTTGATAGGGTAAGAGGAAGAGAAAGCCCAAGGAGATGATCGATGAGATTTCGCCATTACTATCTCTGAAGAAGAAGAGGAGGAAGAAGAAACTGCAGCATTCTGCTTCCCTCGTGAGATTTCTTCTTCCACTGTTTTCCCGCACGAAAAAATCGTGAAAAAATCGTATCTTTTTCTTGCCTTAATTGACTCAAATTCTGAATTTGTTTTCGAATTTATGAATAGATTCTGTACCCACAGAACAGTCTTTTTTATGATCATTTCAGCAATTTCAATAAGCCCTTATACAGGATTTCAGGATAGCAGTCCAAGTTAAAATCTTTAGGGCATGTTTGGATCCCTGAAAATGGTTGAGATATGAAAATCAAGTGGCATGGAAAGTTATTTTTTGTTCGACTTAACCCCAGAAAATGCATTGAAGAATGAAATATGATTGCCTTTGTTTGTCATCTGCTTGTACATATGATGGATAAACTTTGTGTTCTTGAGCAGGGATTGAAAGAGGATACCTCCAAGACTCCGAGGTTAGTTCATCACTAACATGTCTAAATTATCTTTTACCATTTTCCAACATTTATTCATCCAAAAAGATTACGGGTTTCTGTTTTCTCAGTCAAGTTAAGTCGCCTACCCTGATTCGTGCGGAGGAGGTCCAATCAAGCCTAGGCCAAGAACTTCCAACAGTCCTGAAATCGTTAGTCAGATCACACGTTGGCAGTTGTTTTTGGATGGTAAATTGGTGAAAAGTTCACAACTTTTAAATCTGGTTGAGAGTCTTGTGGGGGGATTTTCTCATTGTTGGGATTGCGGTTAATTTTGTGCTCATCAGGGCCTTCCGGTGCCATTCTGCAAGAAATACTTACCAATGAAAGACACCACAGTTGTGCTCGAAGATGAAAGTGGAGAAGAATTTGAAGTCAAATACATTTCAGAAAAGACCGGGCTTAGTGCAGGTTGGAGGAGATTTGCAGGGGATCATAAGTTGGTCGAAGGAGACGTTTTAATATTCCAACTAATTGCATCCGACAGATTTAAGGTTATTTTGAAAAGTTCTCTGTGCATTAACACATGTTTTGCTCATCAACTGTTTCTCATTTTTTTATCCCAACTTCATTGTTATTCTTTAATGCAAATTATCGTCTTTTTAATACATAGTACATTCATAATCTGTAGGTGTATGTAATAAGGACTAACGATTTGACTGACGTGGATGGTGCTCTTAGCCTTCTAAATCTGGAGGTTCTTGCAAAGCAAAGCGATGCAGGTCAGTTCAATTCCTTAATGTTCATTGTGTTTCTTTTTTTCACCAGATTTATTTCTATTGGTACAATTCGCACGACACAGCTGAAGGGACCCCAACAACTCCTAAAGATAACTGCAAAAGGAAGAAACCCCAAAAATCACTCCCATTGGCAATGGCGCAGAAGGAGAAACAGGAGAAGCCACAAATGGAGGAACAGTCCGGTAACGATAGTGATGAGGTTGCTTCTGAAGTTTTTGACTGTTCCAAATCCTCCTCTGCGCTTGCCGTAATTTCTCTTGGAGACGTAAAAACTTTTGAGGATTTCACCATTGTGGTAAACAACGACGAATGCCTAGACTCAGAGATCCCCGTGCACGTACGAAGAAAATACTTTGAGCTATGCTGCACCAGAAATGCTGTCCTTCATGACAGTCTTCTCACTGGTCTCTATACCAAGCTGGTTGCTGCCATGATTTGTGAGGTTGTTAACATTGCAGATTCCATCCGAGCTTGCACGGTCATAACAGGGAGGGGACAGTTTGAACTGTGGGACAAGTCATTGAACTCTTTTGAGCTTCTTGGGATGAATGTGGGGTTTCTGCGGGCCCGGGTCGTGCGTCTGAGGACTCTTGCCTTTGAATCGGAGGGTGGGTCCGATGCGAGGCGGCATTGGGAAGCTAAGGAGAGACTGAGTCAGTGTGAGGATGAGGTGAGGAATCTTGAAGCGAAGATCGCCAAGTTGAGGGAAGAGTGTGAGGTGTATGGTAAGGATGTTGAGGCTCTGAGGCTGAAAGCCGAGAGTTACGAGCTCGGGTTTCTTGAAGTAGCCAATGCTTCATGGTAAGATTTGGTTTTACTTGGTGTGTGGAGTTCAAATTGGTCCATGGTAAGATTATGGGAAAAGTCATTTGTTTTGTAGTTGATGTCAATGGGGGTAGAAAAGAAGATCACCAACCTGTGCTGTTTGTTAACTTGGTTGTATAAGTATGAGATTTTATAAAATATGATATGCATGACCTATATAGAGTATTAGGAGTTGAAAATTGTCACAAAATCATAGGTTAATAATGGGTTAAGAATTAACATTTGAATGTTACGCCCAAGTTGTACACCACAACTATACTGACACTTTAATAGTTCACACGGACACGAAAATCCGGATTATATAAGTGAACCTTTTTTGACGAAAATTATGGAGCAAATTACGGAACTACTCGTAGAAAAGTACAAACAAGGCAGCAGTATATATGCATGTTCAACCAAATAAAGAAAAGGATCCAACTTTTGACGTATTCATTTCCCACCCACCCAAATGAAATCTAATTCAACCACCACCTATCTCCTACAACCTTAAAATCATTCTGGTCCTAGCACAAAGTGGAAAAGTAAAACAGAAAACAAAAGCTAAAGCAAAACTCATATAGATAGTTGTTCTTGTGGCTCTCCCAACAGTAACGCCATAGGTATCAATCCTCCAAAAGTGATCCAATAACTGTTTGGACAATTATGGTATGGTAATATGTTCGAGTAAGGGAATCGAACGTTCAGATATATTTTGCGCAAAAAAAATAATAAACGTATAAATAAGTAAACGCAAAACATTGTACCGATATCTTGCGACATGCTTCATATTTTGAAGAAATTACCCACCATGCAACTTAGAAAAACCAATTTACCCAATAATGACTTGCAATGCTAGAGTCTCAAATAAAATGGTCACAAATTTTGGGTCGGTGTATTTTTGTTTGTTTGTTTGTTTACAAAGATGATATTCATAAGACTGATACATAAAAACATCAATTTGATGAAGATTGCCGCACCGAATAGGCAACAACCTGTGCCCATTGCTTCAGCCTCGTCTTCATTGTCTCTTGATTTTCCCCTAATTTAAACACATTTCATTAATTTAACTTTAATTGTACCTCTCAAAATTACAAATAAAAAATAATAGAGACTAAAATTTGTAGCAGATGGTGGAAGTGATTCATTACCGGCGGCGAATATGGTGGGGGGACTGCCGGACGAGGAAGGCGACCCGGACGGGGAATCGCAATCGGAGACACTAGACGATGAAGACGGCGCCGTCTTGGAAACGGTGTCGTTGTAATGCTTATTGACGGCGTAAAAGAGTCCGTACGCCGGGAAAGTGTCGGACAACCTTTTGTCCATCGTCGGGGAGTCGAAACCGAACCCGAGTTCCATACAAGCCTTGAATTCATCGAGGTCTTCGTCGGTGACGCTCCGGCCGCGCTCCCTCCGGCGGATCCCCTGATTCCCCTTCCTTCTCTGCCAAACCTCGTCGCGGAACGTGTCCGGGGACCACGTATTTTGTTTGTACAGGGACGACGGCGGAGGCGCCGGAGAGGGCTGGGGGTGAACGGGGGTTCCCGATTCCCGTGGATCTGACATGGCGGTTGCCCTGCCCCCTTTTACGACGGAGGCGGGGTGGAGGCGCCCGGCAGGGGACGGCGGTTTTCTGAATTTTAAAAACCAAAGAGGAAGGAAATGGGAATATTTGAATGGGGCTATATTTACTGCCAGATCTCAAAGGTGTGGGGCCATCCTACAACGCCGTGTCCAATGGGTCCGGAGTGCGGGTCCGAAACGGCAATGGTTGGTTCCCTAATGATGAGCTGTAACGTGCCCCATGTCTCCATTTGTACTTTTTTTTTTTTTGTAAAAGCGGGTCCGATGTTACTACCTGTAGAGTACTAGAGTTGTAGGTTTGGGCATAATGTAAAATTTTTTAAAAAAACTTAAGAATATCAAATTGAGAAAAATACAAATAAAAAAATACTGCTAAAATATCAAATCCTATCGAATCCAATGTACGGTTCGGTATTTGAAAACAATATGAGGTAACTTCTCAAATCAAAAATCCTGAACCGAATATATGGACAAAAATATTATAAATTTAATAACCCTTTTATATTGTTTCATTAAAAAAATTAGTTTATAGTCTCTTTCTTCCCTATCCAATTCAATATTCGTATTACTAAATACCATGTCATATCGTATCATATTTAGATTTTTGGTTTGAGAAGTTACCTCATATTCGTATTTGGATTTGTATTCGAAAATTTTAAACAAATACAAATTTAAATATTACGATATTCGTTTTAATTTGGTTTATTTTCAACCCTACCAGGTGGTAGCGCTCGACCGTCACCTCGCACTCATAGGTACAGAGCCAATTTTAGATTTCTAGATTCACAATCACCATCATATATAATGTTTATGGATATCCTAGCTCAATGACAACTACAATTCAAGTAAGAAAACATACCCGGTATCATCTTCTTCAATCCAATTTCAATAAAATCATATTTTTCTTTATAAATTTATAATTAAACAATATTTTTCTTTACAAATTTATAATTAAACAATATAATCAAATTATTGACATAAACGAATTTACGATTGGCTATGTATACGAGTTAGCGCTATATATGAATTCTACACTAGAACAACCTCACGAACTCACCTCGATAGATTTGATGAATTAAAAAGGAATCAACCAACCAAACAATCGAAAAAGACGACAACTAGGGCTGCGTCACAACGGTGGCGACAGCGAAGCAACGACAATTCAACGGCGTTGTTCCTATGGCTGGCTCCTTGCTCCGCTGCATTGTTCTTCTTTTCCTTTTTTTAGGGCTTGGTTGGGAAAACCAAAAACCGCAAATCGATCGAAACGAGCTAGAAAAAAAACTGAACCGAAACCAAATGTAAAAAACCAAACCGATCCGTTAGTGTTTGGTTCCATTTTAGTTTTTATTTTTATTAAAATAACTAATATACCCCATGTGTACACTATCTTTTTACAGGCACACAAAAACACTCATGATCTGTGTTTCACACAAACAATAAGTTTCTGTGTGTGTCTATGAGAAGGTGATATACTACATTAAGGGTACATCACCTTGGGATAACTCTAGGTTTTTTCCAACTAATATTATGAGAAGTATTACGAATGTAATCTCATGAAGTCAAACTATAAAACTCAGTAGATAATAGCGACAGTTACATGCCCAATCATTCCACACATGGGCTATGGCTCGAGTCATTAATGGACAGCAATGGGCTTACAAATTACAATACAAAAAGTTTCTCTAACAAAATAAGCCAGTTATGGGCTAATATTAAAAGGGCCCCTCGTTCTACCAACTGACCCAATGTGTACAGCTAGGGATAAACAAGTACCGAACCGATCCCGACACTTTTCGAAAAAATCAAAATTATCAAATTAAAAAATACCGAATCAATAAAATACTAAAAAAGAACCGTACCGTATCGAACCAAATGGTCGGTCCGTTACTAATTAAACATAGCTAGCCGCATACTACTTGCATTTTTGTTAAGTGATTTATTAGGGAATTTTATACTCCGTCTAAAATTTGATTAGACATGGAAATTTTATTAAGTTAAGTGTGATCTTATAAATAATTTGGCCTTCGTCTAAAATAATTATTTTCATTTTAGCGGATGGAGTTTGATTAAAGTTATTTTCATTTAAAAGTTATGTTTCGGTTTGGTTAACTGTACTGAAAGAAATGATTTCGGATTATGAAGATTGAAGGATTGAATATTGACGTTATTTCAATAAATTTTATGAGAAGCTAAGCAACTATACTAATCATTAAAACCTTTCAACTAATAGGTACAAGTTTCATTATTTATCACAAATCTGCGATTAAGTAATTGTCCAGTCGGAATCTGAGGGAGTCCTTGTGAGGGGCTATCTTTTATTTCATTAAAAATTTCTTCTCATTTCGGTCAATGAGGATTGATTGATTCGCCACTCCCAAAAGAGTTTTATTCTAATGGGTTTGGCAAAATTAAATACTAATTATATTATACATTAGTTAGATAATTTAATATTGTAAAAATATTTTACAAAATAAATCTAATAATATCATTGTTCTATGAATATCTAACACTCCGTATAAATTTTATTTTATTTAAAGGTCAAAGTTTAACAATGTGACTGCAAAAAATTAAAAATAGACAAATACTATGTGACGAAATTAACAAAATTAGCAGTGAAGACACGAAAATAAAGTGAATTGAAAAATTCAAAAAAATTGAATAATTTATTAATGTACATATACTATATCGATTGGGTTCTAGAGCCACTCAAAAAGAGTGGCTACGGAAGCCACTCATCCAATTGGAACACCTACGGTCCGGTGCTCCGTTCACAAAATTGATAGTTCCTACCCCCTCTAACCTCCCCTCTCCCGTAAACCCCCCCACTTGGTCCCGATCCCAACTCATCCCCTAACCACGTCAATTGCGGGGTGCAAGTTTAGTTGACTTTGGAGTCAAAAATTCTGACTCTAAAGTCAACTAAACTTGCGGCCCGCAACTAGTCACATTGTCATATTACACAGTCATTACTTTTTTATCACACTGCTAATTAAGCATACCCTTATGTTACAATGTCATTATGCTCCTACTTTAGTCTTAAAAGAGTTAAAGCTCCTCTTTAGGTACTTTAATATTTTTTTACCATACTCTTGTTCGGGGATATTTCTTTATTAGATATTGATACAAAAATAATTTTATTAGATTTGTTTTATAAATTATTTTAAATGTATCTTTTTCCTAATTAATATACCACATAATTTTTATATAATTTGAAGTCAGATGTTAAAAATGATTGATTACAAAAATTCAAAATTGCACACACTTTGAAAGAGGTGAGTAGTATTTTTTTGAAGAAGGGAGAGTTTGATGGAAAACAAGTGTGTGTGAGAATGTACATGCATGCAGAATGCATACATATAAGCAACGACATTACTTAAACAACCTGGTACAATCGTAGAGACGTAGCCTCATTTTAAGACCAGAGTTATGTTCCAAGGTTGCCCCCCGGCCCCTACTTGTGTGAGCTGAGGACAATTATTCTCTTTTGCACATTTATGCTTTGGCTACTTATTTAATTCCATTTCTTGTAATAGAACTTCTCTATTTATTTGTGTATAATTCTCCTTCCTTTTTTCCATCCTCAAAACTCAAACGAGTTAATGTAGTGTCCCTTTTCCCATACACAACCTGATTTGTTTAACAATAGCCGACGTTGACCGGAGGATGATGGGTCAAACCCCCGCTCACGTAGCCGGCCTCCGTCGTCTCTCTGCCAGAGCCGCCACTTCATCCCGGAACAGCCTTCCCTCACTTTCTTCTCTCGCCGGAGATGTCATTGCACAACTCAAGAGCTCCGGCGTACGTGTGGAGCCCGGTCTGTCGGCCGCCGAGTTCGCCCGGGCAGAAACCGAGTTCGGGTTCCGATTTCCTCCCGACCTCAGAGCAATCCTCTCCGCCGGCTTACCGCGCGCCTACGGCTTCCCAGACTGGCGCTCGTCCGGCGCCGCGCGCCTCCTCCTCCGCGCGTCCCTCGAACTTCCACTCGCCGCCGTAGAGAGGGCATCCCCGCAGTCCAAGTCGTGGGGCCCGCGACCTTCTAACCCGAAAAAGGCGGCCCCGGTTCTCGTACCCGTTTTCCACGGGTGTTACATCCCGTGCGATCCTTGTTTGGCGGGAAACCCGCTCTTCTACGTGGACGAGAACCGGATTTTCTGTTGCGGGTCTGATCTCTTAGACTTCTTCAGTCGCAAGCCATCTGACCCGCACAGACAATTTTCGATTCTCAACACATCGCGGCTTCTGCCGCGATGGATTGAGTTCTGGAGCGACGCAGCGAGTCAAGTAATAACACATTTTGGTCCAAGAAAGAATGCTTTATACTCTGACGAGGGTACTGAGAGAATGCCAGAGTGGGTGGAGAAGTACTTGGGGAAAATTGGGTCGGCGTTGAAACGAGGGGGGTGGGACGAGCTGGAAGTGTCGGAGATGGTGGACGTGTCGCCTTCGGGGTTCGTGGTCGGAGAAAGGGCGGAGTTATATTATGACCGGCGGGCGGTTATGGAGGCGCTTCTGGCGAAAGCGCTTCGGTTATCGGATTTCCTTCGGAGTGGGGGATGGAGCAGCAAGGAAGTGTCAAGCGCATTCGGGTTTGATGTTCGGGCGCACAAGTGCTCGACCAAGAAACTGAGTGATCGAGTAGCTAAGTATGTATAGTCCTTCCATATATGGATCCTAGCTCTTTTTTTCTCGCATTGGGGTTAATAAGTTGAAAGCAAGAAAATTAAGTTCATATTGATGTGTCATATAATTCTCCTCCATCTACTTTCAGACTATAGTCGATGTTTTTGGTGTTTATAATAGAGGAATTTCTTTAAATAGCACTAAAACATAATACTCCATTCCATCCGTTCTTAAATAGATTATAATTTTTTCTCTCTCTCCTCTTCATAACTTTTGTTTATTTACGCGATTTCATTGAGTATTTTGATAAAATAAAATATTCTTGTCAAATCTTGTTTTGTAGAACTTTTGACGTAGTTTTTTAATATATAATTTTTATATCTTATTGATATATCAATTTGTAAATAAAATGATTTCAAAAAGTAAGAAATTTTACTCCGTAACTCGCAATTTGTAATTAAATTGGGGATGGAGGGAGTAATAGCAATGAGGGTGTTGATATATTATTATTATTATTATTATTATTATTATTATTATTATTATTATTATTATTGCTACTATGAATTATTAACATTTTTATGGAGCTGATTTGATTATTAACCCCTCTTACCAGTACTACTGCAATAAGCCCCATTATCATCTCGTGCTAGAAAGCCCAAGCCCATATTGTAATTCTTTTTGGCGTAGCCTTTTAATACAATGCTCCATTAAATATTCATCGGTTTGGGCGTGATACCCCTTGGATTAACTCATTAACTAATCCAGTATCAGTGAAAAAGACCTGGACTCCAAGCGGACCAAATGATGAAATACATTCGATCCAATAGCAGTAACAAAGATTTAAATAATCCAATTAAGTAGACATGACAAAAAATTACTCAATCTATTTTTTACTCGAAATCAAATTCGAAAATATTAGATTTTGAGCAAAAAGTTTTGTGACCGAATTTGAAATGATCCACTATAATGGGTCAAACCCAACTAAACTCGAACTCGACCTGACCAACCCGTTAATATAAAGTCTTTTCAAAATCATATACTCCGTCCTATAATGATCTTCCCTGTTCGCAAAACGAAGAAAAATCCCAAGTTTTTTCAATCTATTTTATTTACATATTGGTATAGAAATAAAAAATAAAACATACATATTTAAAAACTACACCAAAAGTTCAACAAAACAAGTGGGGACAAGAATATTTTATTTTATCATATAGGCCATGAAAAAACACAAATAAATATAAATTCCCGTGAAGTTGGAATAGTGCTCTGGAAAGATCATTATAGGACGGAGGGAGTATTTTACTATGAAATACTGTATAATGTTATAAAAATAAGATTAGAATTATGTATTTTTTTCTTACTATTCGTTTTTAGTGTATAAATGTACATTTAATGGACAAATTTAATAGTATTGCAAAATTATCTTACTTTTTTGAAAAAATTATACATTTTTTAATTCTTTATATTCATTTATATGCCTAAAAATTACTTCATAATTTAATACAAAATAGTATACTCCCTCCGTCCCTAAAAGATTACTACAGTTTGAATTTTTTGGTCAAACTATGACACCCATTGACCGCGAACTATAGAAAAAAAATATATAGTTATAATATAAATTTAGTAAAATTAAGTTTATTTTAAAATATAGTTTTGAAATATCAAATTTTTATAATATTTAATTATTTTAAACTATATTTAATTCCTGGGCAAAGGGTGCCACAGTTTGCCAAAAAAGTCAAATTCTGGTAATCTTTTAGGGACGGAAGATGTAATAGATTTAGGAAAATGCTAGGGGTACACCAAAAGTGTACCACAAACATCCCCACCCCCCTCCATCACCACCAAAAAAGGCAAGAAAAATTCAAAAAAAAGTAAAAAACAAAAACAAAATAAAATGAATGGTAAAGAGATGGGGTGGTGTACATTTGGGGTACACCTTTGGTGTATCCCTAGCATATCTCATAGATTTAATATACATATTTTTATATTTTTTTTTAATTTTTAATTTTTAATTTTCAGTGTTTAATTTTGATTTTTTATTTTAATTTTTTTTTAATTTTAAGTTTTTAATTCTAAATTTTTAAAGTTTTTATTTTAAGTTTTTAAAATTAAAATTATTTATTATTTATTTTTATTTGTATTTTTAAAATTTTACTCCCTCCGTCCCAAAAAGATTTACACGTTTCAAAAAAATTGCGTCCCACAATCCCTTACCCATTTCTATTAAAAAATCACTTTTACCCCTTACTTTTTCAAACCCTACCTATCACATCATACCTTTTTCGTAATAATTTACACATCACATCCAACTTTTACTCATCACATCAAGAGTATTTTTGGAAAGTCAAGACAAAATTATCCCTCCTTTAATTTCTATTTTAGTCAAAATGAGTAACACTTTATGAGATAGAGGGAGTATGTGTTATGAATATAAATCGTGAAATCCGTTGGTTTTGAATAGGAATCTGCCGAATCAGACCCAAAACCGTTCAAACATAGCCTAATGGAATATTTTAGGACCATGCTACACTTACACCAACAAATATACCCTATTTGTACAGCAGAGATTTGCACAAACATTTCGATGGTTTACACCGACACAAGTGTTGGTGCGTTAATAAAAATTCACACGGACACAAATGTTGGTGCGTTTAACAAAAATTAGTTTTACACTAACACAAAATGCTAGTGCAAAACTGCGGGGTACAAATTGGGGTACAAATCTTGGGGTACACATAGCATAATCCAATTTTTTATCCTTAAAAAAGAGAGTCTTTATCTGATTTTTAAACTCGGTAAAAGATGCACAAGTGTCTGCAGCCATAACTTCGTACAAGTAGCCTACTTGTAGATCATAACCATATTCTCAGATTTATTGTAATCTTTTTTTTTCTAGAAGAAGGGAATTTATTGTAATTTTTGATATACTGAAATGTGGAAAAATAAGTATATATAGTTGAGGATATTTAGGAGGATATAGGAAATCACCCCATGTGATAGGGTCAGTGATAGGGGATGGGTATCCCATGGAATAGTTCAGCGGTTGAAAAGGAACACAAAAGAAGAGAGGTCTCAAATTGAAATTCAAGATTAGGTCAACTTAGAAATTATACTAATTCAATTTTACCAGAGGCCTTTTAGAATTGCTCAAAATACAAATTAAACCCGTAACTTGTCCTAGAACAGATAATTTCATACAGAGTATTAATATAAATTTAGAGTGAGACTCTGAGAGCACGTGCAATCCCAACATTGTCGTTAGTGTCTCACTAGTAGCACTGCAGGTAGATGCGCAAAAAGATAGAAAAAATTATCAAAACTCCTATTTTGATATTTGATGACTATTTTAGACTCAAATATCAATTCTATTGTGATCCTTAAGTATGAAGGTGAGAAAATATGTCTTTTATATGTGTAATTTTTTTAAGATTACAATAACACAACTGAGTTCAAATTATCATTCTCCCATGTAAGGATGAAGACGCCCAGGCCAAGGAGGGTTTCCAATGTTTCACGCAAGTGCACACAGCACATATCTCATGTTTATTATTATTATTAGTTTTTTTTATTTTTTAAATGGGCACGTTTATATTCGACTTTTGCTCCCATCTCTTTCCTCAAAATTGCTAAAAGAAGAATTATACGTAACAGATATTTGGCCAAAATATCACTCCCCCAGTCCCCACCAACAGATGCATATGCCATGCCATGCTCGATCTCACTTGATTCACGCAGTTGGCTTTATAATTAATAAATCACCAATTAAAAAAATATTGTTTTTATTTTACGCGGTAGAATTTATTAGTCAATTTGCTGGCCTCAATCGCAATGGGCTTTAATTATTGTTGTACACTTATACCATGCAACTCATTTTATTATTTTTTTTAACGTACACGCGGTTAAACTACTCTTTTCGTCCCTAAGCATTTGTTTATATTTACTTTTTTGGTCAAAATTAGTAAATACTGGCTTTAAATTAAATAAAAATGATATTAAAATATTGATACAGAAATAGTTTTATTAGCTTTATTATATAAAATATTTTTAAAATATAATTTTATCTAGTTATTAATATACAATATTTATGTTATTTAATTATAAGTCAAAGTTTGAAAATAGTTTACTATAAAGTCAAAACTAGACAAATACTCATAAACGGAGACAGTATATTTTTTTTGTTTGTTATATTTCTAATAAGTTAACATGTGACTTAAAACTTCTCTTTTATCTGATCCAAACCAATTTCAACATCACATTCTCCACTTTTAGAAAAAAAAACAAACTACTATGATTCTTTTGGAGAAACTTAAAAGAAAAAATTAGAAACTTTTAGTCGCAATTTTGAAAATTTCAGAGAGTTCAATGACATTATCGTAAGAAAAAAAATAGAGAGTGACATTCTTGACAAAATATAATACCTGTGCGACACTTTTGAACATTTTAGAAAGTTCAATAACATTACTGGAAACAATAAAAAACATGTCCATCTCTTTGACAAAACGCCAATAGTTGAGTGGCATTCTCTTCACTACACTCTCAATTGTATATGTCCATAAACATTCTCTTTATTATTCACAAAAATAGTTAGAGACGGCCTAGAAGGTGTGCACCCGTATAGTGCCTCCAAATTTATATGGTTCAATATTTTTAAATGTTCATTGTTCTAATTAGTTTACATTTTTAATAAATGATCACTTTTGTTTAATAAACGATCACTTTTGTAATACTTTGACTATTAAAATACATGTTTATGCATTTAAAGATAAGATGCATAAACATCGATGTGAGGTGTGGGGCAAGAGGAGGAAGTTTTGACGAGTTAGGGTAGGTATGACTTTCAACTTTATGGACGAAATATTTTAGGTGTCTAATTAAAATATGAGCCTCGATTTGAGGGTCAAAAGAATGGTTGTGGTTGTGTATATATTGTTCATGAGTTAAAAATGCAGATGTATGCACCAGAAAATTTGAGCCTTAGAGGCGGTGAAAACCAAGAATACGTGCATGTTGACTAAGTCAAAACATCATGTGATGCTAAGATTCACTCCGCATTTAGCAATATCTATCATTATTTTATACGGAGTATGAAATTGATAAATTTGCCCTTAAT